CTGACGAGCAGCAGCTGAATCAGGGACGTCTGGGGTAGAGCCAGACTATCGGAAGGGGGCGCGATGAGGGGTCTGGGGTGGCATCCGCCCCACTCCACCCCAGACTTCTCATAGCCCCCCCCCTTCTGATAGTCTGGCATATCTGATAATCTGGCACACCCTGGGTCCTAACGGTGCCGGATTATCAGAAGTTTACTGTAGTTGGACTTTTAGCTAACTGCTCTGTGAACTTGATGAGAAATGGGAGGTTTGATATATGATGATAGTTGGCTATGTCTGCAAGGTGGGTTTCCCCAGTTTTTGGTGTATTGTGTATTTGAAGGAAGAAGAGAAGATTCATTCTCTGAAGTATTGACTATTTTGGCCAGGAGTGATATCAGTTGTTCATGGCTATCTTTCGTGACCCAGGAATGACATGGGTTTGATGCATAGGTCTTGGGTCAAGACTGCTTTCAGGCATCCAAAACTTCTTGTGAGAACTATTTGAATGCATTTGGGCGGTTGGTTGGTGGGCATAGGCAGTGATCCATGTTGCAAGAGAAGCTGTCCTGAATGGGCATGAGCTTATCAGAAAAGTTGGACGATAGTTCTTTACAGCACTGGTGCTCAGTTATGATGCAGGTTGTAGTGCTTATTTACAAAGCTGCAAGGTGGTTTCTGTTGCAACTGTGTAATGTAGCCCCAGAGAGAAACGTATTCTGTCCTCCTCATCTGGAGTGTCAAGCTAATGCAAGGACCTAATGACAAAATATGGTCCTTCAAGACCAGAAGAAATACTGTCATAGCCTATAATTGATCTTGTCTTATTAGTCTACAGACTCCTTTAATTTTTAATGGGAATTACTTAACATTCCAATACTTGCATGATGAAATTCTATTCACATTGTATAATGTGAGTTAATTGTAACATTTTATTTTCTGTTTTCCTTGTTATAATCTATTTAATCTTAAGCTTCATTGGCACAAAAAGGCAAACACCTCTTGAAAATACAGACTCATTTTTTTCTCGATATCAACGTCTGCTTCTCCTCCTTATTAATGCGTTCTCTTACTGGGTAACCATGTTGTTTAGATTGTATCTGAGAATGTAAAAGATTTAAAAAGGCACTCCAGTGGTTTATAAAAATGGTTTAAAGCAATGAAGTACTACTTTTGCAATTACTAGAGTAGCGGGGTTATTGATAAGAGTGGCAGTTCTTTGATTAAAATGGCTAAAAAAAGATGAGGGGTATTGGGTTGAAATGTGAAGAGAGCCACATGGAGCCATTATACGCTATATTGGATTAATTGCAGATTTAATATTACTTGCTTACATGTGTTTTTTTTCCCCCAGATCCTTGTTCATTTGGGACTTTTAACAAAGGAATCTGGATTCAAGATTGCAGAGAATGCATTTAGTGGTGGCCCACTTGGTGAATTAGTCCAGTGGAGTGATTTAATTACATCTCTCTACTTATTGGGCCATGACATTAGGATTTCAGCTTCACTGGCAGAGCTCAAGGAGTAAGGAGATTATTTTCAATTTTGAATCTAGACTACAAAAAAGAAATTGTAAACTCCTGAAGCCTCTATTAGTTCTGTGTATAATTTCTTGAAGAGGAAAATGGAAAGTGATAATTCACTAAACAGGCGATAAGAAGATTATTTTTATGAGCTAAATATATATGCTGTGAAAAGGATAATATGTTTTTATTGTAGCTGCAGGCTCCTGAGACGACATAAATTCATGCTGGAAAATTCAAACTGAGCAGCTGAATTTTTTACCGTTACTGGTGTTTTAAATTGCAATAAAATACATTATTGAATACAGGCAGTCCCCGGGTTACGTACAAGATAGGGACTGTAGGTTTGTTCTTAAGTTGAATTTGTATGTAAGTCGGAACTGGTACATATTGTAGGGGAAACTCTAGCCAAACATTACTCCAGAGCTCAGTTTTATTCTCCCACACCTCACTTCCCTCAGTCCTTTATTCTCAAGCTGAGGAGTCTGCTGAGAAACGCCGCTCCACGTCTCCTGGTCTGCTGGAGGGGGTGGCGCTAGCTTTGCATCTCCCTGGTCTGTTGGGGGTAAGCAGCTAGTGCGGGTTTGCCTCACCCCGTTTTTAAGTAGGGATCCGATGTAAGTCGGATCCATGTAACCCGGGGACTGCCTGTATTCTAATTTCAGTCCTTCAGCTTAAATTTATACAATTCCTCATTCAGTATCCAGCTATTGACAATCTTAAAATAATTTTAATGCAATTAATTGCTCCGAAAATTCTCATTTCAATCAAATTTACATTATTCTCTTTTGTAGGATAAAGTCTAGACTGCAGACTTTGGCTAAATCTAGACTGCAGCTCTTTAAAACTATGCCGCATCCAAGGAATGCATCCGCTTGAGCAGACATACTCTTTTGCCATCCCTGTAAACCTCGTTTTACATGGAAGAAAGGATGTATCAAAAGAGGAGGTTTTTCCATAATTTGGCACCATGTAGATGTGCCAAATTTCAGAAAAGCCTCTTTCAAAAGAAAAGCGGAAAAAGATACGCAAATTGAGGTTCGCAATTTGTGTATCTTTTTCCAACTTTTCTTAGTAGTGTAGACATAGCCTTTGTCCTGCTTTAATACTTTCTATAATGTATCTGTTTAAGATTGTGTATTAGTCCTTTTTTCTGTAGCTTTCATTTTTACAGTATTTACAATGAACCATATTACAGTGAATTCGGATACAATAAAACCGTTAATAAAATACTAGCAGTGATATCCAAATTGCTTCAGTATATCACATTGTGAAAATTGCTCAAGTTATATTTGTACCTCCATTTAGAAAAAAATTATTCAGTGCTAAGAGTCTGCTATAAGCAGTCTTTATTTTACTGTAACTAATCCATTTTGCAGTAAACTTTTTAGTGTGTTTTACTGGCTTGCCAGCAGTAAGATGTGTAAATTGTGTAAATGCAGTTATCTCTGCAAAATTGGAATCGTGAGTGACTAGTGTGAATTTTTTTTCCCTCATCTAATTGTATTATACAAATAATATAGTGCTTGAATGCAAAAAGATGCTGAAATAGTCTCCCTCCCCACCCCTTTCTGTTTTTGGCTAGGATTATGAAGAGAGTTGTGGGTAACAGATCTGGCTGTCCCACCCAGGGGGATAAAGTGGTAGAACTCATTTACATTGATATTGTGGGACTTACTCAGTTTAAGAAAACACTTGGTCCATCGTGGGTTCATTACCAGTAAGTATTACTCTTATCTGACCATTTGCAGAAGCTCTTTAACCAGAAACTGTCCCTGGATGCAGGAATCTTGGCACTTTGTGGGAAGGTGGAGTTAGGCTTGTTGGGAGTGGGCCTAGAGGGGGAGAGGCCCAATGGAGTGAAGGGTTTGGGTGCAAGGGAATGAAACTCAGCAGTGATGAGTGGGTGCAGGGCCGACTTGTTGAGCAGATGGGGAAGTCGCTCCCAGTGCACCCAGAAACCCTCCCCCCATCAAACTCTATGCATTGGGAGGCCCCCCACACATACATACACACGCATTATTGAGCAGCAACCTGACAACCCACCCACCTCACCATATCGCACTCTTCTGGCCTTTCCCACTGAGCCTTAACCACTTTCTCCCTGTAGAATCACGTTGCCACTGCACTCGGAACCCTATACTTGAGCCTCTTTGTATCCAGATTACCCCTATCCCGGTCTCCCACCAAGCTTCCTGCACCCAGATTGTGCTACACAGATACCTGGTACTCTTGGGGAATTCTTTGCCAAAATATTTTTAAACACTGAAAATCTGCTACGTACTGCATATTTTATTGTCAACATAAAATGTAATCATGCCATTTTCAATTATCTTGGTGATATATTTCAAAATCCTTGTCAGCAAGCATTTGAAAAGGTATGATCATATTGTGTTATTTTGGCAGAATATGCAAGAATTTTGCAGAATTTTAAAATGTGCACAAAATGTTTAATTTTTGGTGCAAAATTCACTCAGGAGTAAAAGTGGGGAATGACTATCTAGGAAGATGTACTATGGAAAGGTATCTGGGGGTCACAGTGGATCAATCACAAGCTAAATATGAGTCATCCGTGTAACACTGTTGCAAAAAAAGCAAACATAATTCAGGAATGTTAACATAAGTGTAGTAAGCAAGACACAAAGCAATTCTTCCTCTCTGCTTCACTAATTAGGCTTCAACTGTAGTATTGTGTCTAGTTCTAGGTGCCACATTTCAGGAAAGATGTGGGAAAACTGGAGAAAGTCCAAAGAGCAACAAAAATGTTTAAAGGTCTAAAAACATGACCTAGAAGGGAAGATTGAAAAAAATTGGGTTTGTTTAGTCTGAGTAAGAGAAGACAAGAGGGGGCATAACAGTTTTCAAGTACATAATAGGTTATTACAAGGAGAAGAGAGAAAATTTGTTCTCCTTAACCTTTGAGGATAGGACAGGAAAAAGGGGCTTAAAAACTTCCTGTCAGGGTATAAAGCACTGACATAAATTGCTTGGGGGAGGGGGAGTAGAATCTCCTCCCTTGGAAGTTTTTGAGAATAGACTAGACAAACACCTGCCAGGGATTACTGCATATGGTATGTGTTGGAGAGGCACCTCTCTAGGTCGCTTTCAAGCCTACACCTTGAACCAGGAGGTTTAAAATAGCTTATTGCATGTTTCAGTATGATATAAAAAGGAATCCAAACTACTGTACTGGATTTAATAAAAGATTCTTTGTGTGTGTGACTTGCAATCTTGACTGTTCTAAATTGCTTCTAATTAAGTTGGTGGTGTTCTGTCACTTAAAATTCCAAATAAATTCTGTTTTTAACAGTGACTGTACTGAAATATATTTTCATGTAGGCAGAAAAAATTTTGTAGCCTTTCTCCCTGCCTCAGTTTTTCTTTCTAAGAAATTCCATCTTTTCCATCATAGGTTTATTTTAAATTAGAATCATGACCAAGCTTACACATTACACAATACTCTCATAGGAACTTCAAAGAAAATTCTCAATAAAGATAGGTTCTGCTCATTGAAGCACACTAATCAATCTAATCTTGTTTTCCACTGAATTTCTTGGCTGTCTTTCTGCTTAATTCTGTCATTAGCCCAGAGTAGCAAAAAACAGTCTTACGGGCAAAAATATATGTGTAAAATGAAAATGGTCCCTTCCTTTTTTCCCCTTTTAATTTCCTGTTTGCCGTGTTTTATAACGAAGATATGTAAATATAGCATGATACTGGAATTGTTTAATTAGCTTTCCAGTTTTTTCACTTAATAAATCATTACATCTCAAAAGTTAATATATTTTTACCTGGTTTTTTTGTTCAACCTTTTTCTGGTTTGTGAGCCTAGCAATTCAATTCTGAATAAATTTCTGTGAACTACAATTTTTCTTAGTTACCAGTATCCCTTGCCCAGTACACAAGCAGATTTAACATAAGCTTCTTTTCAAATTGTTAGTAAAAGAATTTTACTCAACATGCATAATTTCCAGTGTCAAAGCAGATATTTACATATATTTTAGTTTATTCCCATAGAACGAACATTATCATATAAATCTACTACTGCTTTATCATTGCTTCTTTACTAATTGCTGTCTTCATTTATTAATACTTCATAGCTTATAAGTATAGTGTGAACAGTGTTTTTGTTCTTGAGAAGCGAAGGATGTTTCTGTGTTGCTTGCATTTCTTTGTTTTATGTCAATTAAATTCTCTCAAAATGCTGACGAGTTCAGTCTGCTTGTACAGAACAGGCTCGAAGGTGAATTAAATTCAGAGTTGCTGTTTGTTCATTTCAATATCAAGTGCCATATTAGTTTTGTGAGAATTTGAACTCAAAGCAAGTTGGTGACAATTTCAAATTAGGTGACTACAGCTATCAGCAGTGACTCTGGTGCTGAGAGTACCAAAATATTCTGAATGAAGCATATCCTGTTTTGTTCATTTCTCTTGCTTGTAGCACCAGTGATGACATTAGGTAACACCTGTTGTATGTCTCATCATTGGTGCTGCCAGTATCATGCATGTACCAAAACTGATTTGGCTTTGAAGTATATGGTTTATTTCAGAATGGCAAAATACCTGTTGTCTTAGATCAGGATTTTTTAAAAATTTTCTCTGTGACATTATAGGCTTAATGTTTCATTCATATACACTGTGTTACCATAATGCATAACTGTTAATAGTGTAATCTAGTTTAAAATGTGCAGCTGATTTTCTGCATGAATACATGCTTCCACCATACTGCAAATCAGTATTAATCGCCCTTTGCCTTTTTTCACAATCTCTCCAGGAATGGTTCACTTCTATATGCCAACCTTTTAACAAGCTTTTTCTGAAAAGAACTAACAGGACAGCTATTCAAAATGAGCCACATTCTGTATAAAGAAGTCCTGAAAGGTTCTGGCTTTTTTTTTTCTTTTGAAGGGAAGGAGCTTTGCTTATGCTTTTACATGCAGGTCCTGGCTAGCCTGAAAGTGTGTGGCCTATGCTAGAAAAGCCACCAGTTGCTAGCACTAGACATCAGCAGTGATGTTATTGAATCATTGTTGAATGATGGTAAATTATTAGTCCAGGAAAGGAAAAACAAGGATAAGCATCAGCTGCTATAACTTTAGCAGTAACTGTGACAATGTTAAAACATTAGCTATACAGAAATCAAATGGAGACTTCTTTAAATCCTGTTCCCACTCTGCATCTTGCAATGGGTAAGAGTCTGTTGAAAAGTACTTCTGAAAAAAATTGAGTTAATTAAATGATTGGGTCCTAATGTAACAGTGTGGTGTCAAAAGACATCTTCCAGTAAGATCTCTCAATCCCAAAGCTATTGGAAGCCTAGGATGCTTCAGACTTCATTTAGTACAGTCTGCTCCAGTTAGTTCTGCAAAAAAATGATTTCAAAACTGTAAACATTCCCATAAATTCCTGATACATAATTATTTTTGTAACATATAAAAAGTTCTGCTGTTCAACATAAATGTGTCACTTTAAATAAAATCCTTCAAGGATAAGCCAAACATTCCATTGCATACTCTTGTCAGCCTCACAAATTAGAAGGCTCTTTCTAATTGTCTTCATGAATCATGACACATGCTCTGCTGTGTCTTACTGTCTCTGGCCCCTTTAGTGCTCTTATCTCACGAGGGTTGCCAGGTCTCTGGTTTTTGAACCGGACAGTCCAGTATTTGAGCTTCCTGTTCGGGAAACAAATTGAGAAAATATAAATGAAAAAATATAAATGTCCGGTATTTTCTAAATAAGATGTAATGTAGATTGTGATGTAATGTCAAGTGTGTCCCATATTTTTGTTGAAACCATCTGGCAACCCTATATCTCACCTTTCCTTTTCTTATTTTCTCAGTTTCCACGTGCCATTATTGAATAACCACATCTTTCATTTCCTTCCTTGTCTTGCTTTCTTCTGCAACTTTCACCACTTCTATATCTCCATCATCCTGCTGCTTTCGAGACCCTATGCTTTCTCTATATTGGATCCTTTCCAGTTACAGATCTAGATGCTTAAATCAGCCCATACATGTAGCATTAAATACACCTGAAGCTTTGTGTTCCTCATATAGATGATTCAACAGGTCTCCAATGAGATCTCAATTCTTCAGCTTCCTCGAAGGTTCTCAAGACACGCATCTGACCAAAGTGTGCATTTATTAGGAATGCTGGATTAAGAACTACCCATGAAACAAGAATGCTTTCTTACTCTCTGATTTACTGCTGTAGAGTCTGTTTTTGTCCTGCTGGAGTGTTCTCTGTGATGCAGAGATAATTGCTACTGTTGTAAAATGTTCTCAATGAAAACAGTTGACATAAAACACTGAATAACTATTGCAGACACTGAACTGTCAGCTTTGTTGTTTTGTGATTCGCAGTATGCTGAATTTTTTTATTCATTTTGCTTGAAAGATCCCTATAGGGATAAAACATGTAAATTATTCTGTCCTATGCTCTCAGATAGGTAGGTATTATTTCATATTAAAGCTACATTTTGTCATTGCTTTATGAATTTTCATTTAGACACTGGGGGCTGGAGGAGATATTTCAAAAGAAATGCATGAAACAAATGACATTACAGATGACTGTACATATGTATTTTTAGGGCCAAATTCTTTCATCCTGTCTGAGGAAATGAGCTTTGCATTGGAAAGGTAGAAGACAGAGCACCTACTCACCAATTCATTGGCTGCTATTGCTGTCTGTTTCCTTTAGTAACTCAGGTAGATGCTGCACCCTCACCAGTGGGGGCTGGAAAGTGGATCCATGTAATTGTAGATCAGTTGTCCATGCCTCCTCTCTCTGTTCAGTGACATTGATTAAACCCCTGCAAATCTATACTCTACAGCAGTTTCTCAACCTTTTTGTTTTTAATACCCCTTAAAAAAAATTACTCCCAGTCTAACCCAATTCCCCTTTCCTTTCCCCCAGAGCCAGGCAGCCCCAGATTCTTTTATTCTTTTAACAATATCCTGGGTCTCACCAGAACCGCTACCGCAGCCATGCACTTCTCTTTCCAGGTGCTGCTGGGACACATGCGCAGAGCGGCTGTCCAGGCACATGGCTCCAAAACAGAGTCGAACGGTCCCTTGAAGGCAGGTGCCACTGCCCTGCCTCCCCCGAATCCTAGACATTTTTTGTGTTTGTTTTAAAAAAAAAACTGGCCGGACAGCAATTTAACATGGGAAAACGAGGACATGTCTGGGAAAACATGGATGTATGATAACCCTACCTTTGAAGTGCCTACTCCCGCCGCCCTGCCTTAGTGGCTTGTCTGCAGGGAGAAAGTGGGCCACTAGCACTGGGCTCTCCGCGTGGGGCTGTGCACTCCCACTCCAGCCTGGCACTCCCCTAGCATGGCGCCTGGTGGCAACTGCCCCCCCTCCCCTTGCTACGCCAATGGCCAAACTGGCTCCCCAACTTGGAACTGCTCGGAGTCTCACCAGAGCTGCCGCCGCAACCACGTGCTTTTCCCACCAGGTGCTGGAGCGCGTGTGCAGAGCGGTTGCTAATGTCTGAGCACACGGCTCCGAACATTCAATTGGGCAGGCACGTGCTGCTGCCCCCTCCCCGATCCCCTTTGCAGGGCAAAATCCTGGACATTTTTTTCCAAATTTCACTTGCGTTGACGTCTCTCTCTCACTTCTCTCATGTACCCCTAAGGGTACACATACCGCCGGTTAAGAAACACTGGTCTACAGCACACTGTGGTGTGGATCCCACTTTTACAAGCCCCCCGGCCTTCTATCTGCTGCAACCCATATTTTGTTAAAAAAAAAATGGCTGCCTTCCAAATGGTATGTTTCTGTATAGGAGAAAGCAAAATCAGAATTGGTGTCCATTTAAGAATCAGCGGTCATTATCTATCTGTGGTGTACAAGCACCGAGGAGCACGATTGATAGGCCGGAACCCTGTATCACTGTGGTTCCCAACCTTTTCGAGCCTACGGTCTGTTTTTTAATCTATTAAAATGTTACAGATGCCCCCAAATAATATAGCTGTTTTCAAACAATATAGCATCCCTGCCTTTTGCCGTTCTGGGTCAAGGGTAGCAGCAGGAAGAGACAGACCGCAAATCCCTTGGCCCGCATTGCTTTCTCAGCTCCCATCCCCTCCATTCCGTGCCCAACCACGGAGGATACGGCGAGGGTGATCTCGTGGCCAAAGGCAGCTCCTGCCCTGACACTTCATCCTTGTCTGAGTACAGAGCCCTGGGGGAGGAAAAAAAAGAAAAGTATGGTCTGGGCCCACTGTGGGACTGGGGGGAGGGAAAGGGCTTTAGTGTAAAAGGCAGTGCAACTGACGGTGGGAGGACGGTTTAAAAAAAACCCATTTATGTGATCGCACAATTGAAAAATGTTTATGGTTTGTTCTGGGTAAAGAAAGTTCTTAAATTTAAAATAAAAACTTAAAGAAGAACTTGAATGGTTTTACTTGTTTTTTATTCAGGTGTATGTTGCGAGTACTGGATTCATTTGGGACTGAACCTGAATTTAATCATGCTCATTATGCTCAGTCTAAAGGCCACAAGACACCTTGGGGGAAATGGAACCTTAATCCACAGCAGTTTTATACAATGTTCCGTAAGTATCCTTATTTTCGTATGTAAATGCTTCTGGAGCTAGAATTAAACAGTGAATGTTCTTATTAGGAGAATCTCTGCAGTTTCAAAAAACTAGGTCATAATCTAGGAAAACTCAGAACTGTTCTGTTTTTTGACTATGCAAAACTGCAGCACACTACGTACAAAAGAACAATATGAACAGGATATAAATGTTAAGGAGATTTTTTTTCTAAAGTTGTGTCTGGAGTTCACTTTTTTTAGCTTCATTTTCTCAAGTCCTTCTGTAGAGTGATTTTTTTAAGTCTCTACAGAGTGATTGCATTTGATAGACTAAATTGCTTTTGTATTTGATAATTTTCAGTCATTTCTTTTTATTCGGGTATCACAAACTCACAATCTTTGTAATTCTACATGATTTTGGCGTCTACGTTTTTTCTTGCAGTTGGTCTCAAGGGCGCATCCTGTTTGTTTTTTATGCTCTGAGCATTAAACTGGGGTGGACTGATTCAGATTATTTCAACACAACAATTTACAATGCTGTTCAAAATTAGAACATGTATTTGAAAATAGCGTAGCTGAAGTTGCACTTATTGACTGTTATAAAAAAGTAAATCTGTTCAATGGCTCTGAAATATTTAGAACACTCATCCAATGCTTGATGTCTAGGTCTAAAAAATCAGCATCAGCTAATCAGATTGTTAGAGAGTGTGTGTTTAAGCTCAAGAAATTGGGAGCCAGAACTTTTAGGTCTTTTTCAGTTTCTGCAGCTGTGACTTGTGATTTTAGGCAAGCTAGCTAACACCTTCTGTCCCAGTGTTTCTTAAACTTTTTAAGACCGAGGAACACCAAACAATAACTCTTTTTATGAGGAACACCAAGGAGTTTTTGTTGGGGGTGGGGAGGGAAGTCGAGTGGAAAAAGAGTCGGGGGAAGTTATTGAGCCAAAAAAAGTCGCTTGCCCCTTTAAGGGCAGCCATTTTGAATTCTGTTGTTCTCTGCAGCACACCTCTGACAACCTCCCTGTACGCCGGTGTGCCACAGAACACAGTTTAAGAAACACTGTTCTGTGCTTAGAGTTGCCAGGTGTCCGGTTTTCTACCAGACAGTCCAGTATTTGTGCGCTCTGCCCAGTAAAAATATTCAGAAAAATACCGGACACGTGCAATTTCCGGTATTTTCTGAATTTCTGGCTGGGTGCTGGATGGAAGCCTGGTGGGGGCGGGGGAGCGGCGGGGAGGCGGGCCCCCGGGGGGCGCTGGGAGCCTCTGGTTGCGTGAAGAAGCTGGGCGGGGGCTGTGAATCCCAGCCAGTCTCCTCACCCGGATTCTGCTAGCAACTAGAGGGAGTGCCTGCCAGGGACTCGGCCCGTTGGACTCCAGCTGTGGCCAGTGGCTACCCCAGCCCTGTGATGTCACTGGGCCCCGCCTCCAGCGAGAGACACGGACCCGCCACTCGGATCCCTGCAAAAAAAAGTCCCCCTGCAGTGGGAGCGTTCTGGCTTGGCTGGGCTTGGGACCCACCCTGCTCACAGACCCAGCAGCCATGCCCGGAGCATCATGTGATGTCAGAGACACGCGGCACATGCGAGCGCCAGGTCCTCGCCCCGGGTAGACAGCTCCTGTGAGCCCAACAGCTCCCCCTTCAGAGACACCACAAATGCCCCTGTGAGCCACCGAACCTCCCCCCCCCACATGCCAGCTCACAACTGCCCCTTGTGAGCCCCCCTTAATCCCCCACTTCATCCCAGGGTGCTTTGATAGACACCCCAATATCCTGCAAAGTTGAGCACTGAACTGTCCTTGCTCTCTGTTTGCCAGATGCTGGGAATGGGCAAGAGGAGGTGAATCACTTGCGGTTTTTGCACCCTCTGTCCGGTAAAAAAATTCAGAAAATACCGAATATGCGTAATGTCTGGTATTTTCTGTTTTCTGGCTGGGCACTGGACGGAAGACTGGTGGCGCCTCCTGTGATTGCGTGCTGAAGCTGGACGGTGCGGGATGTGTGTGGTTTTTTTGTTTGGTTGGTTGGGTTTTTTTGTATGCCCAACCCGCATGTTCGGTATTTTTTGGGAGATCATCTGGCAACCCTATCTGTGCTATTTCAATAGGCATATCAGCAAAAACAAGGGAAAATGTTTATTGGGAGAAGTCAGTTTTTTGAAAAGACACCAGATATATGTTTGTCTTATTTTATTTCCCTTTGCACATAAATTGATTAATCAATCACATCCAGTGTTGTCAAAAATATCCTGGTAAGTCCCAAACATTAGAGTTATGTTGGGTAATTACACTATAGTAACCTACACAGGTCCATCAAGATACCTCCTGTCATAAAATCTGTTTCGGCTCATCTGAATTTGTTGTAAACAAACAGGTTTATGATTTTCTGAAACATAGTACATATTTGATTTTTTTTTCCTTTGGACAATCACATTGCATCTTTTGAGTAATGGCAAGATGTGAACCAGTATTGCTATATTTCAGCCATGACTGCTTAAAAAAAATGTCCAATTTTCCTGTTTTGATTATACATGGCTCAGTATTTAGGACTGTAGTCAAATGAGAGAGAACATTGATGGAGACACATATCTCCTCCTTAATAGACGGGGGGAAGATTGAAAAGACTCCACTTTGTCTCGGTAAGTAAGTCGATGATAGGTAACATGTTCACCAATTTCTTAATCCATTGAGTCTCTTTTCCCCTCCTCAGAACTTGTGAAGTGCACTTTTGAAAATCATAAGCTATGTATAGGCAGTCCCTGACTTATGCGGATCCGACTTACGTCGGATCCGCACTTACGAACGGGGCTTTCTCGCCCCGGAGGTTGAGGTGGCGGATTGCTACCTGTGAGCTCCGGGGCGAGAAAGCCCCGTTCGTAAGCTGCTCCAGTGCCCCTGGTCTGCTGCAGACCGTCTGAGGCTTTGCCGCTGCTGCCGCTTCAGTCCCGGTGCCAGTGGAGTTACACGGGTTAAAAACTGTAGTAATTCAGTGGTGAATCAAGTGCACCATTATCTGCAAGATGAAGGCATGAAAGATTGTTGTGTATTGGGTTTGTTATTCTTTAACCTGATCTGAGTAGAATTCTGAATACCCTGCCGAGGAAGTAGTGTGCATTTCCAAAACACCTGACAAGCGGTAGCTGTAACCACCTCCATAATCAGTGCCCTAGGAAACTTCCACTCTTAAAATACATGTGGCTGTAGTTATAAGAGACTGGCTGATCTAATTGATCCCAGCCCCACAGGGAAGCTGCTCTTCATTTAATTAAGAGCACAGCCACCTGCTCGGTGTACTGGTGTCTAGCAATTCATTTGAACAGGTCCATCAGCAGATTAGGGCAGTCTTTAACTGATGTGCAGTGCTGAAACACTACCATATTAAGCCACAAAGCTGATTTTTAATCTGTCATAATGCTAGTTGAATTACAATTGATTGGAATATTGAATTCTGGAATTCTGATTGGCTGAAAGCAAATCAAATCTGAGGGAAACCACACAGCACTAATAGAATAATAAGACAAAGTGCTTGAGAGAAATTATTTACACGTTGCTTCACAAAGGTCTAGATAATTCACTTAGTTTATAGTATCCAGCAACAATCACCTCTAAATGTGAATTTCACATCTAAGATCATGTTTTAGCTATTTTATATTCAGCAGCGGCTGAATCTGGACGCCAGTTCCAACTTACATACAGATTCAACTTAAGAACAAACCTACAGTCCCTATCTTGTACGTAACCTGGGGACTGCCTGTACATTTAAAAGTGATTTTGAGTTTTCAGCTTGAGACCTCTTAAAAGGGGAGGCAGCTTCAGAAAGTGCTGGGCCTCCGAAAACTATTCCAATTTCATATCTCAGTTTTGGCACCCAAAATACCTCTTGAAAATGTTAACGATTTTATGTTTAATTTCCTGACTTGGTTTAATGGATGGTGAAGAATGCTTGACAACATAGAAGCATTTTTGTTCTCTTTGATATTCTATACCAGGTCAGCTGTGCAGGTTATAATCATTCTCAGTCATAGGGTGGAGAAAGATTATGCAGTCTTCCAGTTTCAACTCTGTGTAGTCTACTAGCTGCAGTCTCCAACAGCAAGTGGAGAAAAGTCACAAGCTGTCTAACATCAGGAGCAGCCTGGAAAAAGAAATTCTATGAAGCTAGACATAGTTGCTTTTGGGATCCACTTCATGTACCAGTAGCCATTGCAACCCCAAAATCTGGTGGTGATTGCTAGGTAGAGGCATAGTGAGAGCATGGTGTTCATTGTTCAAACTTGGCAGACAAGTCGGTCAAACTTTCACCTTCAGAGTAGAAGTATGTGCTGATATTTTGTTCTTTAAGTAGAACTGTTTCCAAAGGACACCTGTTCTGTAGCAACACTAAGGGGAACAGAGACAAAAGGGTTGGATTTTATTTTTGACACAGTAACTGCAAGAAATAATGAGGCATAAAAGGCATAATTACATGTTTGTCCAATGCTGAGAGAGATCTTGTTTGTGCCCAGCCTGTCTGAGAAATAGCTCAGGAACGTGTTGAGAGTGTTACTGACATGCTGCCAACCTCTGAGAAAAAAGCTTATCTACGGTGCAAGTGCTGACAGTGGAAATTAAACCAAACCCAATTTATTTAGAACACTTTGAGGCGTGTCCCTGAATTATGTCCCCAAATTAAGGGGTAGTTCTACATTGTTGCAGATTCTGCAAAAGAATTTGCTTTCTTGCATTTTCGTTGTTGGCTATATTTTGGGCTACTTGCCAGGCTCTGGCTGCGTGCTGTCTACCCATGCTGTTGAAATTTACTGCTCTGTAAAAAATCTGAGACTTATTTAGTTTGTCATCATGCAGTATGCATACAGTGCTAGAGAAGTACAGTGCAAGTTGTTCAGCAAATAAAGGCTCTGCATTCACAATTGTTTTGTGCTAAGTAGCAAAAAATATGGTAATGATTTATGACTACAAGATGTAACTGAATAGGACAGTGCTAGGCAGGGTTTGAGGGATGCTTGAGCAAATGTGCCTT